TGAGGGGACACCTGGGGACACTCCGGGGACAGGTGACACCAACCTGAGGATGGCGGCGGCTCCTTCGCCTTCTCGGCTTCCAGGGCGGCCTCCAGGGCCGAGACTGAGGGGACAGCGAGGGGACACTGAGGGGACACTTCCCAAACCCCCCCAAATCCCCCCAAAATCCCACAAAAATCCCGCCCCAAAACCGCCCCCAAATCCCCCAAAATCCCCCAAAATCCCCCAAAATCCCCCCGAATCCCCTCCCCCACTCACTGCGCCGCGCCCCGAGTGTCCCCAGCAGCAGCAGCAGCGTCACCGCCAGCGCCACCAGCGCCACCAGCGCCACCAGCGCCACCCGGGGGGACAGCCTGGGGGGGGAGGGGACCTCGGGGGGCGCCCCCGGCCTGGGGGAGGGGTCCAGGGGCTCGTAGGGGTCCTCGTCCGGGGGGGGGTGGGGACAGCCTGCGGGGACACGGGGGACACTCAGGGGGTGGCGCCTGGGGACAGCCCGGTGTCACCTCCCTGGGGACAGCCGGGGGCCAGCAGGGCTTGGGGACAGCCCTGGGGACACGCGGTGGCACCTGGAGACATCCCCGGGGGGTTGGGGACAGCTCCCAGGTGCCACCACCCCCTCTGGGGACACCTCTCTGTCACCGGGGACGGGGAGGTGACACCGGGGACAGGGAGGTGACATTGGGGACATTGGTGGCCGTACCTTCCCCGGCTCCCCAGGGTTTGTCCAGCGCGGTCTCCACGTTCCCGTACATTGTCCCCAATGTCCCCAGTGGTGTCCCCAATGTCCCCAGTGTCCCCAGGGCTGATAACGCCCGCAGGGGACAAGGGGGGGACAGGATGTCCCCACCCCAGGATGTCCCCAAGGGGGGGTGACAGGGCCACACAGGAAGGGCCGCGCGCTATCGGCTCCTGCCAGCCCCGGCCACCTCCTGTCCCCTCCTGTCCCCTCCTGTCCCCTCCTGTCACCTCCTGTCCCCTCAGTGTCCTCTCCTGCCCCTGGGGGACACTCTCAGTGTCCCCTCAGTGTCCGCCCCCCGGTGTCCCCCAATGAGGGGACACTGAGCGACACTTCCCGGTATCCCCCAATGAGGGGACACTGAGCGACACTTGGGGGACACTGAGGGACACTGAGGGGACACTGAGGGACACTGAGGGGCACTTGGGGGACACTTGGGGGACACTGAGCGACACTTGGGGGACACTGAGGGACACTGAGGGGACACTGAAGGACACTTGGAGGACACTGGGGGGACACTGGGGGGGAACAGCCGCCACTTCCATCCCCGCACTTCCCGCCCGCACACCCAGCCGCGCTGCCATTGGCTGATCCCAATGATTGACACACAGACACGGACCAATCGCGGGAACTTCGGGCTCCGTTCCAGATGTTCGGGGTCCGTTCCAGATGTTCGGGGTCCCATCACCCACCAGGGCCCCCCAAAACCCCGCCCCTCCCCCACCCCCACCCCGGCTACGCCTCCGCCCCGCCCCCTCCCTCGAGGAACTGTCCAATCAGCTCTGCCAGGAGGCGGGGCCTCTCCTCGGGCAGCCAATGGGAGGCGCCGGGCAGGACGCGGAGCCGCGCCGAGGGGCGGAGCCAGCGCAGGTGGGCGGGGCCAAGGCGCGGGTCCAGGAAGGCGTCGCGGGAACCCCAGAGCAGCAGCGTGGGGGGAGGGGGCGGCTCCCGGGGGATGGGCGTGTCCCTGGGGGAGGGGACAGCGTTAGGGACACCTGGGGACAGCTGGGGACACTCGGGGACAGCTGGGGACACTCGGGGACACAGGGACAGGCGGCTCCAAGGGGACCGGGGTGTCCCGGGGGGGGCAGGGTAGGGGACATCCCAGTGGGGTCCAACCGGGACCACCCCAAACCCAACCGGGACCACCCCAAACCCAACCGGGACCACCCCAAACCCAACCGGGACCACCCCAAACCCAACCGGGACCACCCCAAACCCAACCGGGACCACCCCAAACCCAACCGGGACCACCCCAAACCCAACCGGGACCACCCCAGACCCAGCTGTGACCACCCCAGACCCAACCGGGACCACCCAGGGCCCCACCCAGCCCCGCCCGGCCCCGCCCACCGGAAGAGGTTCCGGTAGTAGTGGATGGGGGGGCTGAGCCCCCCGGGCTGGCCCAGCCCCCCCAGGTACGAGTCCAGGTCCCGCTCCGAGAGCCGCCGGGCCGGGTCCTGGATCCCGGTCCGGGAACTGCACAGGAACGTCCTCAGCATCTGGGGACAGCGTGGGGACACCGGGTGACACCGGGACCCGACACTGGGGACATGGGGACACCGGGACCCCGGAACTGGGGACAGCGTGGGGACACGGGGGTGACACCGGGACCCGACACTGGGGACACGGAAGGGACACGGAGGGGACACGGAGGGGACAGGGCTGACCTGGAAGTCGTCCAGGGACAGGAGCAGCTCGGGCAGCCAGGGCAGCTGGAACAGGAAAATGTAACAGGAGCGGAGCAGCTGCGATGGGTGACGGAGCATGAAATCTGGGGACAGCGACAGCGAGGGGACACCGCGGGGTCGGGGACAGCGACAGCGACACCGCGGGGTCACAAACGTGGCGGGGCCACCAAGAGCGGTGGCACCGGGTGGGCTCGAGGCGGCACCCGATGGCCACGGCAGGGGACACCCGATGTCCCCGCGGTGCCACCTCCACCCGCGACCTCTGTGCCACCTGCCGTCCCCGGTGTCCCCTCAGTGTCCCCTCAGTGTCCCCTCAGTGTCACCTGCCATCACTCCCCTCTGCGGCGCGTCCATCACCACCAGTTTCTCCACCAGGTTCGGGTGACTCGAGGCCACCTCCCAGGCCAGGACCCCTCCCCAGTCGTGTCCCACCAGGGCGCAGCGCGGTGTCCCCCGCGGTGTCCCCAGCGCCTCGATGACGTCGCGGATGTCCCCGAGCAGCAGCTCCAGGCGGTAGCTGTCCCTGCCCGGGGGCTTCTCCGAGTCCCCGTAGCCCCGCAGGTCCAGGGCCACCACCCGGAACCGGGGGCTGAACTCCTGCATCAGGTGACGCCAGCAGGACCTGGGGACACGCGGGGGGACAGCGGTGACACCGCGGGGACAGGGTGACCGTCGGGGGCGGGGGGGGCGGGGGGACAGTGGGGACAGCTGGGGACACCTGGGGAGTACCTGGGGACACTTGAGGGGCATAGGGACACTTGGGGACACTCGGGGACACCTGGGGACACTTGGGGACATTTGGGGACACTCGGGGACACCTGGGGACACTCGGGGACATTTGGGGACACTCGGGGGACACTCAGGGACACCTGGGGACACTCGGGGACATTTGGGGGACACCTGGGGACACTCGGGGACATTTGGGGACACCTGGGGACACTCGGGGACATTTGGGGACACTCGGGGACATTCGGGGACACTCGGGGACATTTGGGGACACTCGGGGACATTTGGGGACACGCACCAGTTCTGGGGGAAGCCGTGGAGCAGCAGCACCAGGGGGGCGCCGGGGGGGCCCCGAGTGACGTAGTGGAGACGCAGCCCCGAGCCCTGGGGGACACCGGGGGGACACCGGGACAGGGGGGGTGACAAAGGGGACGGGGCCAGCGGAGGTGTCACCGCCCACGATGTCCCCAAAGCCACCCCAAATTCCCCCCAAAGTCCCGCAAAATCCGCCCGAAATCCTCCCCAAAATCCACCCAGGACCCCACCAAAACCCCCCCAAAATCACACCCAAACCCCCCCAAAATCTCCCCAAAATCCCCCCAGGACTCCCAGAAAGTCCCTGAATTCCTCCAAACCCCCCAAACCCCCCCCAAAACCCCCCCAGGAC